CGTGTTCACCTTTTGTTAAGTTTCCCTAATTTGAAAAAAATAAATTTGTTGTACGAGTTTCATTGAAACCCCTAAAACCGCTACAAATACACCTTAAGTTTTCAGATTTATAGATGTTACCCTCCCTTTGGCTGGACTAGCCCTAGTGACACTGTTTAATTAGGTTGACTTTGGCCGTACTCTGGTTACTGATACAAAAATTTTTTTACGCCGAATAGGTTGTTTTAAACAGTTTAATCCCTTTGTGAATTGTTTCCACTTGCGCCATCCTTTAATTTCTTCATACAGCGGGAATCCAAATGAATAAATCCTGAGTCGTTGTGGCATTTTTTTGACTTTTAAACTTTAATTACACCCCCCCCCCCCTTGTGTTAGGATTAGGGGGGGCGCAACTTCCGACAGGAGTCATGTGGGGAGGGCTCTTGGGAAAAAAGGTTGGGAACCCCTGTACTACAGGACTTAAGCTAAGCTAAGTTTCCCTCGTTCTACCTTTAGAGACATTTAGCGTACAGACTAATTGTGTAAAACCTCGTATTTAAGTCTCGGCCAAAAAATAAACGGTTAATTCCCAACAGCGAGAAACTAGATTTATTATAGTTAGCAATAGGTTGTTTTTCAAGTTAACATGAATGATGGGTCTTGGAGTCAAATAACCACATTCCTTTCTGTTGCAGTAAAATATTCCTGGGTTGAAAAAAAAGCTACCTTCAATCCTACACATTTAAAATATATACCACTTATCTAAATCTGACCTTTGAGACCACAGCTGTTTTACATTGACCATCTACCATTATCTCATACAGCCTTATGGAGAGCACAGGATAAAGCCATTAAGGAACACTAGGACTGATGCTAAATGTGTACCAGTAAAAGCAGTGGCACAATAAAACTGAACTTGATAGGGATCATATAAGAGATAAGATGAGGAGACAGGCGCAAGAGGAGGAGGTCATAAACCATATAGATGTCTTCTTTCTCTTCATACACTATTCATTTTTATCTCTCCTATTTTATTCCCCCCTTAAATTCCACTGTCTGTATCTCTCAACAGTAATAAGAGGTTTAGGTCATGCTAGGTGAGCTGTGTGAAATGTTCTACTTTCAGTGAAACACACTCCTTCACATCACAGGAGGATGGAATGTAAATTTGAGGGAAGGTGAAGAGAATTAGACATGCGAAATACAAAGATGTACTGGGTTAGGCAGTCATGTGTGAAGGCGGTCTGCAGTGACAGATTTATTCCTCAGTGATACAACGCTGTACACATCTGCTCTTCCTGGCTCAATCATCAAGAGAAATAAATATGACCATAAAAAAGCTAAACCGATGAAGGTGTTTTACGACCAATTCGTAACATCTGTGTCGAGACCCCCCTTTCTTTATATACGGCTCCATTCACCTCTTCGAGCTTCAGAAGCAGATTTATTATCTACCGGTGTCTAAAGTAAAGCTGAAGTGTTTGACTTAGTATTAGTACATCAGTGTTATATGGTTCTCATTACATGCGTCACACAATACTGTCCTATAGTTGTGAACATGTTGTATGTGTAATATACGGCATAATGCACCATTATCAACTGGTATTGCTAATAATTTCATGCCTTAAATAGATATTACAGAATGTACACATTGCTGAATGGAAAATAAATGTCTAAAACTTTCAAAAATAATATAATATTTAGTATTTTTTTACCATAAGCAGTATTTTGCCGTATCAGTTAAACCCCTTCACAAGTGCTGTTACTCACACATACACACAAACACATACATACACACTTACATACAGACAAATAAATAGGCAATTATCCAATTACAAACCACTGATACCCATTAGGCATCTAAGTGTAACAAGTGAAGATTAAGAATACAATCACAATGAAATCCCTTTAACTATAATACAGTATAAACAAAAGAGTGTGAGCCTCGAGAGACTTGCTGTCCTTGCTTATTACAAGAGCCATCTCAGACGATTTCTGAGAGTTGTTAATCCTGCCTGACAGAATCGGTGCTTCTGCAAGCTCAAAGCTGCCAAAGAAAACACACTCACTGCTCAACGTGTGTCTCACCTAGCTGTCTGCAGCCTGCCAACTGCAAAGGCTCAGACATGTTTACTTCACCTGAACAAACTTCAATGCATGAAGTCAATGAGAGCTGACAAATGCGCAAGAAGATATTGTGACTGTTCTGCTCTTATACATTTGTGGTGTATTTTTAGGTATGAGTAACAAAGACAGAGCCTGAGAGATGACACGTCTGATATAAAACAACTCACTGTCCCTACCTGCCTCATGGAGTCAGACCCTGACCTCTGTGTCCACTGGAGAAACATTAGACAATTATTTAACAGAAAAGTGTGAGAGCAACCACATGCAACACCAGGCCAAAGCAGGGGTTGTTTTGCACTTATTAAGTCACCCTGTGGAGTTTTTGACCAGCAGTATCGCTACAGAGCAATATTTGTTAGGAATGGTTGCTGCTGTGTTAATGACTTCACCAAGACGTCAAAAACAGGAGACAGAAGAATGCCGAAAGTCACACGGGAACTGCTACAGCCAACCAGAAACCACACCGAAATCTCCATAGCCTCTTCTATAGTCCAGACCTCTAGCGTTAGAGGCCATGTTACCTCTGTGAGGTAAGCATGTACAGCAGAGATAGTCCAGTAGACTGTACTAGAAGCAGAGCAGGGACTACATGATACCCGGGGGAGGGGGGAAGGGGGGGCACCCATGGGGACTATAGGCTAGAGGTCAGAGGTTACCTCCTTCTGATTGAGCTCCAGCCAGGCAGTATAGAGAGGGAGCCGCAGAGCCCCGCTGGAGTCCATCAGACTCCCCCCTTCCTGGGAGAGAAACACCGTGGGAGAAAGACACACACCGCGTTAGACCTGGAGCCCACAACCAAGCCACGTCACTACATGTGTGTGTGTTATAGTGTTGTCACGATACCAACATTTTGGTTTCGATACCGATACCAAGTCAAGAATTGCGATTCCGATTCTTTTTCAATACTTTTCTTTTATTATTTTCATGATCAATACAATGTTAGTTTTCTTACAACATGGTCTCTTCTTTATACTTGAGTTTATGTGATTTATTTGATAGTTAACTTTATATTTTATTAACATGTAATAGTACAGTAATATAAATAATTATTGACAAAANTAAAATTAAGCATCATCTCAAACAACTTTTTTGTTTTATAAAATATAATTTTTTTTATATTTTATTAACATGTACATGTCATGTAACAGTAATATAAATAATTATTGACAAAATGTATATTGCAGATGTTAGCCAAATTGGTAAATTAGCTAAAAAGATAGCCATATTAGACAGTTATCATTGCCATTAATTGCCTCGTCAAACTACGAAAACGTTCGTTTGTCACAAAATAAATTACACTTGTTTGACTTCGATTTGAGGGCATGGGCTTGAGCATGATGTAATTATGTATCACATTCGCTTTCAAGTATCGGTACACCGTGCAACACAAGTGTGTTATGATGTTGACATGTATAAGTGCATTTCTCCAGTTGAAATACCCATCAATGTACAACAAAGCAGCAGAAACACAGAGGACAAAAGTCACACAATAAACCAAACTCACTAATCAATGGAGTCTGGTGACTATAGGAAGAGCATAGAGTGGCTTCAGCTTCCCATCAGAAAGAGCTGCTGTTAGTAGGTAAGGCTTAAACATATTCTAAATATAGCTAACAGTCTACTGATATGGATTGTGTTAGGTGGTCCTCTCTTCATTGCTTAACTTGTGTGAGCGTGCCTGTTCCTCAAAACTAAAAGCATGCCACCACCATCTACTGTAGGTAATAAAAGTACTATGGGTATGTACAACCCCACTTCAAACAATCCGAACAATCCCTTTCAGAGTTACATTGCAGTGTGCATGTACTGCATGGTGCAGACCGAGACATACGTGCTTAAGTGTCTGTGGTTGGATCTGCTACCAGCCAATTTGCCAACAATAATGACATCTAAAGTAAACCATAATTCCTTCCTGCCCACTTCAAAAACACCTCTCCCACCACCTCAGACAATAGGCAACAACTCATGCGCTGCCGCCTTTGGACAAAGATGTCTCTGGCAGATTTATATCTCACTGTGAAATACTACGCTATGCCAAGAGCAGGCGGAATTTACAGCAGGAAAAAGAAAAGGAACAAGCATGTGAAACCCAAAAACCAGCTTCCACATGTCAACATAAGTAGTTACACTGACATGAAACCTGGGTTTGGAAGCATAAAAGTAACATTACTGTGTGGTAGAAATATGACTAAAAGCAACCGTTGTTCTCATGGAATACACATGTTTAAAATGTCACATGCAATTCAATTTGGAAAATGAAACGTTCTGGTATTTAAATGCAAAGTGTGTGTTTATTTGTGATGATAACCTTAACTGTCTGAGGTCTGGGGAAACCCACGTCAAAAAGAACAAAGAATAACATGGCCCCTTCCTGTCTGGGGCTTCACATACAAAAAATAACTACTTAACATTTTAAGAGAAGCACTTAGCAAAGAAAATACAAAAACATGCTCCCTGCATTTGTTCAGAAACACATGGTGCTGCAGTCAACCTGACACACAGATCCCTATGCACAGCTGATGAAGTGTGTGAGGGTCGCCATGACACAACCACACACCTAATAAGGCATGCGTCTGTCCCTCTAAGTCTTCACGGCCATCCTGGAAATCCACACGGCCCTCGACTAAGAGCAATAAAACTGCAACACAAGGAGATAGATGGCGACTCCAAAACCACTTAAAGGCAGTATATTTATTTCAAGAGCAATTATCCACCGCATATGTGTGTGTGTGTGTGTGTGTGTGTGTGTGTGTGTGTGTGTGTGTGTGTGTGTGTGTGTGTGTGTGTGTGTGTGTGTGTGTGTGTGTGTGTGTGTGTGTGTGTGTGTGTGTGTGTGTGTGTGTGTGTGTGTGTGTGTTTGTGTGTGTGTGTGTGTGTGTGTTTGACGGCACATCAGCTTCTCCTGGAAAACCGATAAGCCCTGAAAACATCCAGGAAGAAGCAGAGAGAAAACACAGAACAGATGGTAGCAGCTATTGATTTAATAGCATACATTGATGCTCAAAGCAATTTCTTTGATAACAAAAACTTAATTTGTAATATGTTGATATTCATGCAGAAAGAAAAGAGAGTTAACTAAAACAGTAAAGTTTCCGACCATAAAACCAAAACGAAAGACGCTAAATATCTGTGAGTTTGTTACTTCAACTTACCCTTTAACAAACACCTTCCCTTTGATGAATTGTTAATATGAACATATATTGAATATAACAGCTTTAAAAGTGTGTCTCCAGGGTTCATACACTTTTTCACAAATGATTTTCAATGACTTTTCCAGGACTTTTACCTAATTTTCCATGACCAAAAAAATTACTCTTTCTCAGCGGTCCCACTGATAATGGTTTATTTTAACATGTTGTGCCTATCTAAAACAAATCCAATAGTAGGCTTACTAGCTTCTACACGCTAAAGCAACTCAAATCTCTCACCAGCAAAATACCTCGTCAGTTAAATGCCATTTTACGTTTCTACTATACGATACAGTATGTATTATCATTATAGTATTACTATTTCGGCGATTAGATAAAATATAAATTATATTTGATGCAACTTTAGTTACATTTCCATGACTTTTCCAAAACTTTGGAAAAAATATTGTTTTCCATAACCTTTCCAGGACCTGGAATTAGCATTTTGAATTTCCATGACTTTTCCAGGTTTTTAATTACCGTAAGAACCCTGTGTCTCTCTATCTTTAAATCACTTTTGCAGCCTTAAAGTGTAAATACAAATACGGATGGGGGGTTGGGTTACATCCATAAGGGGTGGAATGCAAGAAGGCACGCACAGTATATTCAGAAATACTTCAAGCTATGCTGTGAAGTAATTTGCACTTATGGTCTAGTGCTTAAAGTCTTGACATGTAAACAGCACCAGGGTGAGAGCCAGCGGAGAAACAGCAGAAGCAGAAAGAGTGAACTTTTGGTACTCGCAGGTGATAAGAACGAGCTAAGCCTGTCTGGGATTGCCGTCTACACCTTAGCTGTAAATATCATAGACCATAAGTGTAACTATTAAAATGTCTAAAAACAAGCTAGTGTGCAGAGCAGCATGTCATGCAACAGAGGCACGCCATGTCTGCATTCATGCTTTGCTGAATTTAACACCCTGTGGATGGATCGCGTTGAACTTAATTATAGTTTATTCATAGAGACGATTAAGAGTGTATTGATGTTTAAGTCATAAGCATTTATTCTCATATTTCATATTCTTGTTTAAAGACAGCCAGTGAAACATGAGCGATGGTGTGATTTATATACCTGCAAGTTCTTTCTTGTTTATCGTTTTCCATTTGAAATCATAATAAGCAAGAATATATAAGCCTGGAGCAGAAGACTTATTGGAAAGGATCATATAGGATGCAACCACAAAGTAATTTTATCTGTCATCACTCAGACCCATTTAAAAGGGTTTGCATTAAGGATTAGTACTTGCCAAGATCATCAAATCAACTCGAATAAAGAAAGTTCGACATGCAAAAGCCACAAAATGCTGCAAACTTCATGTGATTAAAAGTTTCATTTAATTGTATACAAAACAAGAACTTTTTCTTCACTTAAACCTTTTTTTATTCCAGAGTCTCCAAACTGCATTTCCTAGCTTTATTTAGTGGAGAGGGTGTGTTGGAAAAAAGCTTTTTCTTTCTTGACAAAACTTCTATGACAAATGTATGAATTTCTGAAATGGATCATGTTGAGATTATGGAAAATGTAAATGGTATTAAATAATAAATCAGGCATTTCTTTCCTATTCTGCGTATATATAATCCTGACTTAACTCATGCAGGTGGTCTGACAGATATAATCATCATTTAACTGACATCCTGCCCAGTGTCCAGCTAAATAACATCATTTCCTGCAACGAGAGACATCATTTCCTGTAGTGAGCAACACATCAAAACCCAAGACAAAACCTCCTGCTCCGAGAATACCCATCGACGCGTTCTATCTGTGTGTTATGTGTGTTTCCTGTTTAGATTTGCCTGGCTGACACAGTAAACTTTCCTTGAGACTCTGCACCGTGGAATTTCAAAAATGTCTTTATCTACCTCTATTGTGTAACATTTATAATGGCAGTACGGACATATGCACACATTCAAAACACACACACACACACACACACACACACACACACACACACACACACACACACACACACACACACACACACACACACACACACACACACACACACACACGGAGTAGCTCTCTGTTTGTGTGCCCCCCACTGATGCAAACACACGCACAGACAGCTTTCCAACCGACCTAGATCTTTGCTACAATGGCAAGTCCACGTCTGTTGTCATGCCAACCCTCCCCCGACCTCTGACCTCTGTATTTCAGCAGAGGCACCCTGGTTCTTAAAAGGAGAGCAGCAGTGGCTTTAAAAAGGGGGCACCCATACAAACCTGCACAACTTCAACCGCCTCATCATCTGACCCAGTAAATCACCGTCTGTGCGTGCAAGTGTGTGTATTGTGTGAGTGTGCCGTTGGGACCGTTAAAAAACAACTGTGTGCTCATGTTGGCAAACAACACTGGATTCGAAACAGCTTTTATTGAATGTACAGTGTAACTAAGTTTCACAAGTTGTAAAAAAACTGCCAACAATAACAGTTTTAATAGGCAGATAAAACATGTTATGGCTTTTTTTATCAGATACATAGCATAGAAGGTGGAAAAAGGATGTTTTAAATAATGCTAACCTAACATAGGCTAACGTTATGGGAATTAGCATACGTTTTGTTTTAGTTTGAGGAGATGTTTTTAAAAAAAATGTAATTTAAAATCTTAATAGTTTACATCTAGTGTGTCGACCAAACATGTCACATTGTTTACCGTTCTCCTATTTTGAAACTGTATTACGTACCTTAGCTAGCTTACTCTGTTTTTGGTTAGCTTCAGTCAGTTAGCTAGTTCAGTTAGCTGTGCAGCATTTACATTTGGCAAATATTTACTGAGCATAAACATTTAGCAACAACTTATCTAAATGTACAGTAAGAACTAGTTTGTGTGATGGCACTTAAATGTATTTGTTCATCTTTAATTAGTTAAGAATTACATTATACGTAGGCTACATTTGATATGGGCTAACAAGTGGCATAATGTAGTGTGAGGTATATTGCGTTACTTTTGATTAAGAATAAGATGATTAGTTTGATCTTTCATCTTTATTTTACTCTTTAATCCAAAAAGGTCACAACGGCTGTATTAGCAAGCTAACATTAGCTTTGCACAGAAACGTGTGTGTGACTGCTCTTGCAGACAGTAGTCGTGTGCTTTCATTCACATCTGCACATTCACATGTCAACACCTCTGATGTATTGTGAGAACATTACTGCTTTCTGACATATATATTTCCACTAAACCCTGCAGCAACTGATGTGGGATTAAATTACCATCAATCCAACTACTGATCAACACTTGAAGAAAAGCCGCACCTATGTCAGCGCTAAAATCAGCTTCAGGCTAATTCAACGGAATGTGTCACCAGCTTTACAAATCATTGGTTTGCATTGAGACTGACACTGGTGGAACGCACACATCCCCTGCTTTATACGGTTATAACACCAGGATACACTCTTAATACTGGTGTAACAAGTGAGCGTTTGTGTGCATACTTCTTGTGTGTGCGTATAACCAACACAGTCTCAGGGCATTTCGTGTTATAGTCACGAAATTAATTTATTGATTCGTGTTCAACAACACGATTTCGTCACTTTTTTCGTGTCACACAGAACGATTGTAAAAAGCAATGTAAATAATAACAAATTGGAAGGAAAAACAGATTTAAAAAAATACAGATTTCAGTATTCTGACAGAATGATTTTAGAAGCAATGTATCTCTATTGGTAGTATGTGTTGTGCCTGCACCAAATAATAACACATTAGAAGGAAAAAAAGATGAGAAAAAATATAGATTTCAGTATTCTGAGGCTCTGAGCCCCATTTCTTTTCCTCGTGGATGGCAAAAAAACTCCGTCATTATATAATTTAAAATAAAAGGGATAGGGTTAGGCTTAGGGTAAGATATTGAGTAAGAAAATGCTTTTATGAACCACACAGCTTTTGATATTCCAAGACCCGACCGGACAAAAAGACTTGGTGCAGGCACGAAACACACTACAAATAGAAATACATTGCTTTTAAAATCGTTTTGTGTGACACGAAAAAAATGCGAAAATTGTGTTGGTGAACACGAATCGATAGATTAAATTAATTTCGTTACTATAACATGAAATTCCGTGAGACTGGGTTGGTAACAGGTAACAGCAGCAAAGAGGAAGCCTGTAGGATCAGTGAAGCTAAATCAATCAGAAGAATAAACTGCACAGAACTGCAACAAAGCAGGAAATATGTTGGGACGTGGAATTAAATCTATTTTTGTTTCCATAGAGATGTCCCGACAAATACCAGACAACCCAATGCACAAACAAAACAAAGAAGTCTTTAGTGCCAACAGATTGTACTCTGCAAAAAATATCTAGGGTAGTTAGGGACCTTGCAGCAACGCTAACAAAGCAGTACAAGGTTTAAGATATTGTCTCTAGGCAGACATGCAGCCTTAAACAATAGCTACACATGTCACCCTGTGGCTAACAGAGTACAGTATGGTAGCCTGAGTCATCCCCTTTGATGAAGACGTCCCTACCAAGTATGCTATGGGCTCTATAGCTGGTCACAAGAAAGAGGCGAACAACCTGTGAAATGTGAGAAGGTTTGCATTGTAAGCTAGCATCAGGCCAAGAAGCAGGGCGCTCTCTTTAACAAGTTGTAGAACACAGGTGCTGCTGAAATATGATGCTGGAAGTGTTGGGTCGGCTAGTTATGCTATGGCTAACAGCGTTGGATACATGCAGGGTTCGAGTTATGTGGGAGCCAATGGGAGCTGAGCTTCCATAAGGAGGGGTCTGAGCTCCTATGAAAGCAGTGAAATCATACATCTGTGGGGGTCGCTAATACATTACCAACAACCATTATTTTAATCACAAATAATGCATGTGTCAATGTAATGAGTATTATTTACATTAACGAGGTAAATAGGCTATAAATAATAATAAATGATTGCGCAATCTATGCCTGTGAGCGTGCTGCGCAAACCGAGATTATGTGTGTGCGCGTAGTTGAACCTTTTCATATTTAAGTTTGTAGTAAGTAGAGGGCTGCTGCTGCTGTGTGTGTGTGTGTGTGTGTGTGTGTGTGTGTGTGTGTGTGTGTGTGTGTGTGTGTGTGTGTGTGTGTGTGTGTGTGTGCTTACACGCGTGCACACGTTTTAAAGACCCCCATAAAACTCAGATTATAACTCGAACCCTGGATACATGACTGTAGACCCAATAGTGAATGAAAAGGGGGATGGATTTCTTTTGTCAGAAAATATAATGTTCTGCATTTAAGAAGTTAGCATATTAGCTGTAATAGCTTATTGAATAAGGCTGGTACATGGTGTGTCTTAGGTCCACAAGGGTAAAATGGAATGGTTTCAATTGAAAATGGGAAACGAATCAGAGTTTCAACATCAAATTGTAAAAATATATCTTTATATTCTTTACCTAACTAAGATAAAAGGCCACAAACAGCCGACTAACCTGTTCTGATGATTTAAACAGTTAAACCGGAATAATAAAACTATTGAACGTACATGTTTAGAAAGCGAGTGCATCTTATTTCCTGCCTGGTTTATTGTTATAAGAATGATGCCCGCAAGCTGTGGAAGTTTGTTAGAAATTAACACCACAGCAATTGACGGCAATGTAAGCTCTCTTCTAATCTAATATTACAAGTGAAGAGGATACATGAGACAGCTTGTGAAATAATCGCTGTCTCTTGTCTGGGATTGGATTTAATAAAGACGCAAGAAGACCATCGTGGGAACCATAGAGGTGGGAACGTACCGAAGACGACATTAGACACTGTGAATGAAACAAAGATTTCTGGCGATGAAAAATAAAAATGTTGAAAGTAGATTCAATTGAGATTTTAACAATAACAGAGTATCTACAGGCCCTTGCCTTAGAAATACATATACATTTACCAGTAAGCTGTGAGTGGGACAGTGGATGAACTTTTGACCCTTGAAGCCAATGCCAGGCCCCTGAACTTTTTCCACAAAAGCTATACCATAATTTAGCGTGGAATGCTAAGGCAAGAGGGGTTAACCCATGTCAGAGTTAACGTCATTAGTCAAACCTGCTCTGTAAAGATAATCTCCCGAATAAGCAGTCAAAGTCAACTTCCTCTGTAGCTTCAAAGAAAGCCACATTTCATACACTTCCACAATACAACCCCTGAACTTATCAACTCTCAACACTGGCTAATAATGAACTTGAAGGAAAAAGTGCAATATTCAATGAGATTTTTTCATATTACAAAATCTCCAAAGCGAAATCTGAAGGGTCATGCCATGGTTTAACCCCATCACCGTTTTTCAAATGCTGAAAAGGAAATGTTCGACTGGATGGGCATTGGTAGGTTGTTTCTTACCTTGTTGTAGTAATGGAGCTGGACCGAGTGCCATTGGCCGTCGCTGACCCCCCCTGGGATGTATGGAGACACTGTGGTCTTTGTCTCACCTGGAAGACGAGGGAAGAAGAGGAACAGGGAGAAGAAAGAGAGGGAAAAGTGAATTACAGATATAACGTAATTTAAATTGTTGAGAACATCTGCTGCTGAATGCTCACAGAAATGTCTATTTTGCTCCACCACAGGTAATTGATTAGATATCATTAAAGGCAAACTCTACGAACTTCCTTAACACACACCATGATCATAAATCAACTGAGAAAGGTAGTATTAGTCTGTATCAATGGGTCTCAGTGAGAAGATTGTACAGCACAATGGCACCAGATTTACTGAGGGTTTACTCTGTTTGTCAAGGGCAGGAGGAGCAGGGGCAGGAATCCACTGCTCTGGAAATCAGTAAACAGTACGGCAACACTGAGTGATGTGTGTGTGTGTGAGAGGGGCTTAATAAGTGATGGATCAGTTTTCTAGCTGTGCACATCAAAGGGAAAAAGAAAAAGAAGGAAGTGATTGTATATCCTGCTTTGCCCTATACTGCATTTAAGTCAAAACGTATTGGAGGATAAATACTGCGAATAAATCAAGGGATTTCTTCCGCACTACTTTCATTAACCATGAATCATGTTTCTGAGTATTTTATTTGATGAGTCATGCTTCTGACATTAAGTCATATTTCAGATTTTAAACGGGGACTTGGCTCGGCTCCCAAACAAGCTTCGCCCAACATAATCATAAGAACTGAATTCCTCGCACCATGGGAAAATAGGGCGACTCTGAAAACATTATTCATAAGCCCGGAGAAAATGTGTTTGATCTGCAATCCAACAGTTTCCAGTTTGGATAATTATTGTGAGTGTGTGATTCAGGGGTGGAAAGAAACTAACATTTAATTAAATAATGTAGTTAGAAGTACAATTTGAAGGTACTTTTCTGTTACTATATACTTCTACTTCACTGGGATTCAGATGTCGTACTGTTTCTGACAACTTAAGTTGCTAGTTACTGTGAAGATTTTGAATAATAATACAAAATAAAATGAAAAGATTAATGATAATGTATTAGTTTATGTTAAAATAAAATAAGATAAAGATTCCAAAACTAGAAGTATATAAAGCATGTTACCATCTGCAACATTTGAGTGATGTATGAATCAATGCATCAATAATTATAGTCCAATACATTAATATAAAGGATTCTGTTACTGGAAATTCTGCATAATAAGTAATTTGTAATCCTGGTACTTATACTTTAGTACTTTTTCCACCAATGGTTTCATTGCACATGAACTGTGCGTGTGCATGCATGTTTCTGTGTCAATACATGCTTTAATAACTTGCCTTGGTTGTTAAAAAAAAAGCATTTAATGGTCGGTCCAATTATTGTTGGCATTTGTCTGTGTGTGTGTTGTGTGTGTATTGGGTGTTTTTGGCTAGTTTAATGTCTGTACCATCATTAATCAGTCTGACAGCTCCCTCTCTATGAGAAAGCAGCTGCTTTCAAAAACACACCCATATCTCTTACCACGCACAGAAACACCCACTGAAGTACATGTTAAAACTCTGGTACATTTGGATACACGATTGCACAAAAAAATACACACCCCTGTTCAAAGAAAACGCATGATGATTAAAGTGTTTTAGCCGTCTCTTTGTGAAAGCCACTTCAGATTAAGAGCACTTGCGTGTATCTACTTATAACATAGCTGATATTAACAACAAATACTTAAAGTGGTCACCACACACACACACACACACACACACACACACACACACACACACACACACACACACACACACACACACACACACACACACACACACACACACACACACACACACACACTCACCTCCAGAGAATGTGAGATGAATCTGCTCGTCAATAATCTCCAGAGCGATGAAGTCGTGCTTCTCATTGAATCGGCCATTGTAGAGAAGCAGAGCGTTCCTCTCTCTGGAAGCAAACCTGCAAAGACAAATTGGATTTTATAGGAAATTACAAGAACAGATCAAACACAAAAATGGAGATCCAGTACCTTCTTAAAGGTTGTAAAAAACAAAAACAAATTAGCTTTGATTTTTGATGTATAAATGATTAATTTATTTAGTTTTAAAGTCCAAAGTGAGACGTTTTTCAATTGTTTCCTCCACTCTAGCTCATGTTTCCTGTCACATTTCTAAGCACCTATCCAACTCAAACCGACCGGGACTCCACGGTTGAAGGCCTTGCGGATAGCTTTATGATGAAAGGGCCGAGAAGCTCTTGAGGAAAAGTCACTTGGAAAGGAAAGGCAGGAAGTGTGAAGGCTGGTGGGCCGCAGAGAGGGAGAAAGACCCGGTAAATACCTACACTACTATGGTACAAAGTTCACATAGCTGTGTGTGTGTGTGTGTGTGTGTGTGTGTGTGTGTGTGTGTGTGTGTGTGTGTGTGTGTGTGTGTGTAAGGTGAGGGCAGAGGAGTCAGCCGGCAGATGCCACGGAGGCCGACAGGACAGGAAGTCAGGATGGCTGTAACCAAACACTGATAAGAAGAAACTCATCACACAGCCTTTCCTGTTTTCACTCCACTGCAAACCTTTCTCACCGTCACCGTGTCGCCACTAAACTCATTCTACCTATTCCCGGTAAAGGGAATAATATTTACTGTGTGTTGCAATTTTGCTGAGCCAGGGTTATCTTTTTCCTCCAGCAGTTTCACAAGCACACCTCATAACATTGCACGTTAAGAAGGATTGCTTCTTCTTTCCTCTTATAGAAGGGAATTGGACACAATGAAAAAGTGTGTATATGTCTGTACACGCCCCGGTTGACACACTTTAGCTCTTTAAACTCAACTGTTTTTCATTTGTGCAGCTCCACACACTCCCCAAATTAGAGTTTGCTACACTGCTACAAGTAGGACGGACGTGTAGTAGCTACTGCTGCTGTGAAAAGGTGTGTAGTGCAGGAAAGAAAACAACATTATCGAAGTTTACCAGCCATGATTTTGTAAATCCAACACTTTTGAACATCTTTACAGTCCAGTAAATGAATTATTTAATTATTGTATATGCTGCAATGGTTAGCACGGTTGTTAGCATGTATGTAGCCATCTGTATCAGCTAAAGAAGGCTATTGTTAGCTCTCTAGCTAGTGCTAGCTTTAAATCTGTCAGTGAGTGTTAAAGCTTGAAGAAACTGACTAAGATGGATAAGACTTAGCAAACAGTGAGTAACATGTATCTAGAATGTATTCCATACTGTTATTGGTAAAGAGAAGAAACAAAAGTAGCAAAGGAAGCAAGGAAAGCACTCACGTGAAGGAGACGGTGAAGTGGAACCTCTGCCTCAGGCCTCTGAAGGTGATGAAGGACTGTCCGGGGAAGCTGCGGGTGGTCATCTCACAGTACGGCTTCTCGAACTCTCCCTGTGGACACTGGCACATGAAACCTCCTGCCAGCCGGTTGACACAATTGCCGCCGTTCTTACACACACCGGGTTCACAGCGGCCGGAGGATGCATTCAGCTCACAGTGCTCGCCTGTTAGAAGAGAGGGGGTTCAGTTAAATCTGTAGGATTTGACATTTCATTTTTTATTTAGTTTACACCTTCACTGCTGCCTGGTTTAAAGAGGTGATATATCTGCTGTCTGGAAACTTAAGACAACACTGTTTGTGCAGGGCAATGTGAATGATAAATGACTTGTCATCAATCTATAATCACCATTTCATATTTTCTATGAAGCATAACGTCCACCCTTGACTGAAATACAGATGCATCATCTGTTTTGAATCCAGTTGTTTTAACAAGATTCCTTTGACTTTAAGTCAAGCACACTTATAAAACTTTTGTAGGTTACATCAGCCTAGGAAAAGCCAATCTCAACATGAGCATCAATGGAGAACAAAGCCCTGTTTATAGGCCTTTTCTGGGAAGCGCAGGTTTTAACTATAGTGTAATTTGGTCATATTTGGAGAGAAGGGAGAGGATGGGAGATAAAAGAGGCACAAGAAGGGGGTGGCAAGAGAAAACACATTGTTGAACACAGAGATAAGTCATTCTTCCATTAAGTAAAGTCTGTAAAGCTGATATGATTAACCACAGACAATAGCTTACCAGCCAAATCTTCCATAGCGTCATTATAGTTTTGGTTTTATTTCCCCTACTTTCATGCAACCACTTCTACATCTACTTAAACTAGCTATGTCTATCTTTTACTAAAATGTACCATTTAATGGCCTAGCTGTTCACAATCAAAATTGGAGATAGGCAACTTTGCATTTTTGAGAATACTGCAATGAAACGCCTTTGTGCGTAGCTGCAGTTAACAGGCGTAATTTATTAACTTGGTGCTGAGCTTGTCTATATGTTGGTTTTCCCGGATTCCTATTGTGAGTTGGTTTAAATATTGAGAAAATCCTCAGGAGACCAACTGAATTATCCATGCTAACAAGGCCACTTTTGATTTGCTCTGCCAACCACAATTTGGGAGTTACCATAAGTCAGTCCTTCACAAAATAGTTTGAAGGCTGCATGTTGATACCAGAGTTTATAAGATTCTATGATTTCATTTAGTAAATTACAGCAGTGGGTCGTGCCATGGGAAATTCCTCCTAGATGACCATGTGGCTCTCAGTTTCCTAGCTCGGCTTATATACATTCCTCCACTAATACTGACTGGAATATTATTTGTGATGGGTGCCTCTGTCCCATGCAGTGTTTTGTGTCAACTTTCTGTCCAGACAAGATCTCTCCACCCGGGACACACACAGACCCCCCAACACCAGAGCGCTGGAACCAGCTAATGGCCCTTCTCTCCTCAGTGTAATCCTTTTTTCCGAGGGCGAATTATGAGGATCTGTTTCCCTGTAATGTCGGAAACCCAAGGAGGAGAGATCAGGCCCGCTTGTCATCAGCCCCATAATGGCGCCTGATGGGCCCTGACTATCTGGAGTTGAACTGTGACCTTCAAAGAGGGGACACCGGGATGTAGGTAAGGACAATATGGCAGGTGAGCGGAGAAGACGGACATGGGGATCACGTGGAGAAGGCGAGAGAGGGCCAGTGAGTGACACAGGCAGGTATAATCAGGTAATTACATCAGATAAGACCAAGGAGGAAGAGAAGGAGAGGAAGAGTGTTGGGAGAGACAGAGGGAAGGGAGGCATGACGGCTGTCAGGGGCCCCTCCAGGATCTATTAGAGAGCAGAGACAGTCAGCCAGGTATCAGATGAACAAGGGGGAAGTATGGGAGGAAGATCACTGACATCGGGAAATATTTCGGAAAGTGATTTGAATGGGAATGATGAAAGCTTCCGAGGCTCATCTACCATGTAAATGCTGTGCAGAGTGACTATAAGTGCCCGCTTCCAGGAAGACCTCTAAATCTGATAAAAGCCTGGTTTTAGATTTAATGTAGACTAAGATATTTTCATATAGATAAAACCTGTGCTTGCATTCTTGCTGAAACACATTGTGTGTGTATATACATGAATGCACTTAATTTCTTATAAATCATTTTGTGATCATTTTAAAACTACATTGCTAGCTAGAAGGCTTTTTCTCCCCTAGTTTGTGGAGTCTTGAATATGTCAACATGTTCCTATTAGTTATACATATTGTTTAAATGCAATTTGTCTACTTGATAATAATCTTTACTGATCCTAAAAACCCTTTTCTTAAAGTCGGTTTTTTAAAAACAATGGGACAAGGGACATTGATTTGAAACAACATCATTGTAAACATGCCTATTTTTTTTTACAGTAAAACATACTGTTGTGCTAGTCTTTCATAATATTAGCACTACTCAAAGTTTTAAAACAACAATTTTATTTGAAAAGAATTAGGTTGGTGATGTCTGAGATCTGGTTTTACTAGAATAGACAGCATTCCTCTACAGCAATTAATCTAATGTATGTGTGCAGGTGGTTTTACCTACAGCATAACAAAGCATTTCTTCCCTTCTTGCACTCTGATCGACCGGTAGCTACAACAATAGGTGCTGAGAGCTTTTACAACCTCTCAGTGAAGTATCATTCATTAAAGCACTGTCAGAAAAAGATTTAGTCTTGCACTTACTCATAAAACACTTCTTCTTCCGGGGGTGGATTTAATACATAAAGGCTATTATCAATGAGGTTTAATTTGATTGTAATTATCAAAAATACTAATAATGGGAATAAATAAAGAGGTATTTAAGGTATGATTTGTTTTATGTGATCTCTCTCTGATGACATGACAGCTACAAAAGACTATGAAGACAAATGGGTTATTTGAGTGAAAAGGTCCTAAAAGTTACTTCCAACATCATAGTGAGATTTGACAAGTCTCTTTTTTTTCCTTGTTAAAGAAAAAATGACTTTCTTTTTTCTTTTTTTTGTACATGTAGAAGACTCACCCGTGAAGTCTTCCTGGCACTCGCAGGTGTACCCCCCCTCTCTGCTGCGGCATCTCCCGTTGTTCTTGCAGGGCCCTGAGTAGCAGAGGTCGATCTCGGTCTCGCAGTAGTCCCCGGTGAAGCCCAGCGGACAGCGGCAGCGCAGCCCGTTGATGGGGTGGATCGGCCTGAACAGAACCGTGTCGGAGGCGATGAAGGGAGGGGAGCTGTCGAACTTGAGCACCGACACACACTTCATGTAGTTCTCACAGGGCTCCCGCAGGCAGATGTTGTCGTCAAACGGCAACACCTGGAGAGAAGAAGAAACCTCAAGCTTAACATGGTCGTTTATTTTAAGTTAATGTCTGCATGTTAGTGTCTGTATACATATATGAGTTACCTCCTGAGAGGATATGAGCCTGAGCAGGGTCCTGTTGAGGTAGATATGCTCCTGCAGCTCCTCAGAAGGGAAGAACGTCCCTTTACCCGCAGCGCCTCCAGGTTGAAGCGCGGAAAATGTTACGTTGAGGATGGAGCCTTGCACGTCAGTGTCGTTCTGGATGTTGAAAACGAAAACTGCCTCCCGTGTGGTGGAGAGCACGGCCGCTACGCCCTCGAGGAAGAGGCTGAGCAGGGGCGAGAGGAAGCGCTCCTGGGACATGTTCTCCAGACGCACCGTGATGCTGTTGGTCAACATGTCGTCAGTGATGATGGTGACACGCAGCGTGCAGAGGGCCACAACGTGATGGATACCATCTGTAAAAAAGAGAGAGAGGAGATATTAGAATGTTTGACTTGACAATCAGGCAACTCCCAAGTGGCATTAAAGCAACTAGCAACAGAAAAGGACACAAAACGCAGTGACAGGCAGATATTTAACGACATGAGGCTCAGTGTGTCCTTAGACATGAGGCCAGGATTCAGCAAGGCGAATGATTTCATACAAACAAAGCACAGGAAGGTCAAATTAAGATGAAATACAAAGACTAAAAAAGCCAAATGAGTCTCCAAGGATGCAAATCAATGTGAAATAGTTGGGCAATTCTTTTCAAATCAAAGTTAATTTAAAAAATGCAAAAGGCCACTATTTGAAGTACAGCATCGACTCAATACTGGTTGGACCTAATCATATCTCTTCTGCCCCCTCTACACTGTGGTTTAACAGCTTGACTTGTGTACTTTGTATCACTTTTATCACTAGATTGAATTAAGTAGTATCCAGCCGGAGCAGATTCGGTCTGATTCAAGCCCCGGCTGGGAGTAATTGGATCAGTCTAACATTTCGGCCCCTAGGGAGGCTTGGGTCTGGTCTCATACCTACTTCTGGCACAACTGTAAGCTCTGGTGCCTATGGAGGGAAACAGGAGGCTATAGGCTACAGAGGGCACAGGCTGGGTGAAATACAGCTGACAACAGGTGGTGGGGCCAGATGAAATTCACAGGGGGTTAATACTGTTGAAACATGGCAGGGAGATGGGTCAGATTGCAGAGCTTTACTGGAGAGTGTGTCATGTGTGTTGGGGTGAAAGAGCCACAGTGAGGTTGGACCACAGATGCGCTGTCACTCTCAGGCGTGGTCGCGGATGAGGTTGTTTCTCAGGACCCTTACTCTCCTCATGCAAACACAGACGCACTGTCGATCAGAGCAGGGTGTGGACAGGCCGGCTCATCGGAGAAGTCTGGAGCTAACTGCTAACTAGACTGGAGGTCAACGACGGACCGATAACTCACCATGTGAAGCAACGTGAGGGTCATTTATTTCGGGTTGGACGTAAATCAAGGTGCATGGTGGGCAACAAGAGTCCCCAAAAGCGCACATGCAAAATGCACACATGCATTAACAAGTCACTCAGCAGGACGGTGACATTACGCAGCAGCTGTGGTGTAGTGGGCTGCTGGAATGGAGGTGCTCATTCAACAAAGTGCTGAGTATCAGTGGGCTACTGTCTCTGCAGCGCTCCACACCTGTCTCTCCCTGTAAGTCGGGGAAAACTCTGTTATCCCACTTGCCGCCAGAGATCCGTCAACTGACATCGAATACACACTCGCTGCATTGACTCAGTTAGAAATTTGTGCCCACAGTGACATGATTATGTGTGTAGAATCATACTTTAGGGAATATAATGCTAATTTGGCGGCACATTTCGATGGGTTATTGTACAAAGTATTCAGATGTATTCCTTGCTTGCACACAAACACACAACTCCAGCAATGCTCAGTGTTAAGCTATTACACGTTGACTGACACAGGGCTTCGACACACAAGCCGAGCTATTTTGTGACTAAGTTAACTATATAGGATTAACGGTACAATACAGTCAGGGCTCTAAGATCTATTATCTTCTCAGAGTAGGGAAGGTAAAGGACGGTGGAGGTGGGAGGTGAGGGGCTAATGACACCACTTAGCATGTGCAACCACAACTAGATCCAGAAATGACGGACCATAAGGCGGAAAGGATCATGGGATCATGGAAAGATGCTCAAAAAAAAGACAAGGGTGGTGCTGAGAAATTCCGATTGCATTGGCTTGGCAATCATGCGGCACCAATTATAATAAGTGGTGTATTTTTAAATACTGCAAGAGGAAGGCAACACCTCTTAGCTTTCTTACTCAAAATGTCGTAATGATATGATGAATATTTGCGACACTTTAAAAGATAGTTGTTTGTTTCTTTTTATCCTTTTGGGGTATCCCAACCCACACTATTTATAGCGCCCACCAGCTGCTAGCATGGGATCACACACACATACAGAGGATGGGCTGAACCGTGGAAAGGGAGTGTCACGGACATAAGCCACGGAAAACAACATTCTATGTGTGTAAGCATGCACACACACGCATATAGGCCCCCCCCAGCACAAATAGACACACAGGTTTAACAGCACTTACTCCTAGTGAGTGTTTATTAGATGACCCTTTGGGTAAAAACTAGCATCAAAGCTGCTGCGTGATCTCAGCTCTTTTGAAGTATCGTGGGTAAATGTTTATCATTATACACTACCCCTTATCTCTTTTAGCTGGCATGATTACGAGATAAAGAAATAGTGCTTGTAAAAAATGTGTTTAAAGCACACAGGTTATTGCACTTAACAGCCTTATAAATATGAATCTCAATCTAATGATAAATATTATCAGTTCAGTCGGTAGATTGTATTTAATGAGGTGTAGGTGGATTAATTATTAACAGAAATAAAAAAGAGTTGTATGGGCAGGCCACACATTTTGAGTCCCACAGGTGGTGGGACTCGAGAGGTGATAAGAGCTGTTAATGACCTGTGAAGCAATGACACACTTGTGTTTGCGTATGACCACACAATGATCATACACTCAAGCACACACATTAAAGCTAATACATCGGTCTGTCACCTGTCAGCAGGCTCCCCTGGCCACATAGTTCTGTCTAACACACACACACACACACACACACACACACACACACACACACACACACACACACACACACACACACACACACACACACACACACACACACACACACACACACACACACACACACACACACACACACACACACGACGACGACGTACGTACGTACGTTACGTTACGTTACGTTACGGTTACGTACGTACGTACGTACGTACGTACGTACGTACGTACGTACGT